AGTGGGAAACCTCACCTTTGTAATAAAATATTTGACACTAAAATTCCAATAATCCTTCATAGCATCAAGTTCATCTTTCATGAGTATATCTTCATAAGTACAGCASGAGAAAAGTAGTGTCACTCGCGTCTCGTCTTCTTCATTGTTAAGAATTGTGTGAAGTACTTGAATCATTGGAGCTATTCCCGTCCCAGCAGCAAGCATACAAACGTGTTGGTACTAGAAAAATGAGAGGAAAGGAGTTTTGAAAATTGAGAAGTTTCATCCACGTTAAAAAAAAGTGGTTCATACACTTGATAAGTAAATGTGTCAAACTTAAAATAATATAAGTTCAGCAAGCAGTCTTGTCATTATGAAAACCAAATCAAGTGACTGAAGACCTTTATTATAAATGAGTACAGTTTAGATTTCTGAACATTTGATTTGCAGATTTGTCTAGGATTTTATGTAAGAAACTGGTTAACTTGCCAACCAGAAAGTTGTGTAAAAAGATAAATTAAACACCATAAAAAAGTAGGTGAAGTAACTTACTGACGTTTTGGACATTAATCCTTCGTTGGACCAGAAAGTTGTCTTAAACGTTTACTAAAACAATAGTTTACTCTTTCTGCTTAATTGTTTTAGAGAATATATGAGAATGTATATAATAATGAATGATAATGTATGACAATGAATGATGATAAATGATAATGAATAATAAGGTATGACAATATATGACAATAAACGATAATGTATGATAATATATGCTAATGAGTGATAATGTATGATAATTTATTACCTTGTTTGGTATATAGGTAAAGCTACCAAAGGGTCCTTTCCATTCAACCATGTCACCAACTTCCCATGTTTTGACATACTTTGACATCTTACCATCTTTGTAAATCTGATAAGAAAATTAAGAAAAAATATTCTTTCATCCATCAATAKRGTRCTATTCTACACCACATGTACTAGATCCATCCTAACCTATGCAGTACCAGTGTTTCATGATGGACTACTAAAGTATATGAAAGTTTAACTGGGCACATCCGGAAAAGAGCACTAACAATCACCTGCCCTAGTTTTTGTAGCCTGCATGCAGGCATTCCTAGTTGGGACAGAGCGAAGAAACGGAAGCGAACGTAACAGAAGGGAAGGAAACAGAAGCTTTCTTCGCTTTGCCCCCAACTAGGAACACCTCCATGCAGGCTATAGTTTTTGCATCTCAACAACTCAAATAAGTCAATAGACCTCTGAAGGTTGTGTCTTATACTGTATAAACAATGCATTTGTAGGATATGTTGGRGACAAAACATGGCATTACCTTGATTGCCACATCAAAATATCCCTCTGCATYAAGATGAGAGACAGGTGTGTACTGCCTTGTGATTGGTGGGTTGTTCATATTACTCCTGTACATGTACAATACAATATGACTTTAGTAAGCTCAGAGTAATTTAAAGGGCATTACACTGTGATAGTTGCCCGGAGAATCTGGCTGTTCTGTCACCATAGAATGGCTGGAGTTTGATGATGACTATGAAGTTTTGAGGAACATCCAGTTTCCAAGGTCAACTATCAAAGCAAACTACARAARATTTTAAACTTTTCTATTGTTTTTTTTATTATTCAACAATGAAATTTTCTAAAGCAACAGACCCTTAGTTTCCTTCGCAGTCTCCTCTTTTGTAAGGCTTCATGTCCCTCCCGACAAAAGGGGAGACAGCAAAGGAGACTAACAGACCCTATGTAGGGATAGAACCCCTGCATGGCAGGCACTACTGCAATGTGTGGTCAACTCTCCACCAATGAGAGCAGAGGAAATTTTCTGTTTGGAAACAATAGTATAAATCCAAAAACAGAATGTACAATGTACCTTAGTATAATATGCTGTCCAGTCTTCAGCCCCAATGTACCTCCATCAGGAATGACAAACCTGTACAGCCAACAGTTTCCAGTCATCTGTATCATTGAATCTATTCTGAAAGCTCTGAATTCTGATTTACTGAGAACAATATCTTTGCTTTTGTCCTTCTTCATGTTGGAATGAGTAAATAACTTGCATTCCAGTTCCCATTTACGGAGATCTTCTTCGTAAATGTCAAAAACACAAGGTGTGCAACCTGAACCACAACAGTCACTGCTCAATGGCTCTTCTGGCTTTGGTGGCATTCTTTCACTTGGGTCGCTTGCACTACAAGTATCGATTGATGCCTCCATTGTTTCTATGACTACTAAGGTATTTACAAGTTGTGCATCTTTAGGTTTTAAGTTGTGAACTGTATCATTTGATACATTGAAACTGGGTGAAACTACAAAAAATATAATATATATATARGCTTTGTAAAAAAATATCTAGTTTTCATACAACGGTTTTGAGCAAGCTAGGGTAAGTTTTCTAGATATTTGAATTCATAAAATATATTGTCATCTAGTAAATTTCTTATTAAAAAAAGTTTCAAACAGATAAAAACAGTTGCTTTTGGATATAAAAAGATTTTTGTTACTAATATTTACATTTAGGCCAGTACAGAAAATTAAAAAAGAAAATTTCTAGTATTTTACAGAGCGAACATTCACTCGGGAGTAGGATTGCTGCCTCGTTGTCGGTAATCCCAACATCATTGCAGTCCACCAAGAATAACCATCCTCACAAGAACGCTTAGAGGACTTTTCTTCGTTAGTTTGCTTTCTTTTACGGTTGTTTATAGAGCTTTCCTGGCAAGTTGTTTGAGGATTTTTAAAATCCATTACATTCATCCGCCATTTTTTTTTTTTCAGATCAGAGGAAGACTGGGGCGAATGTAGAAACCACAGGAATCCCAGAGAACATTGTGAAAAAGTCTCGAAAAAAAACTGACACAAAAAAAACAAAAAAAAAACTGAATGAGAGAAATAGATGAAACTCCCTATCAATCAATAAAACACATAAAAATTTAATATAACCAATAAATGTAGTTAAAATGGATGAATCAATGATCAAACAACGGAAAAACAAAAATGTACCAAAAGGCGTTTAATAATTAAAAGGTGATTATGAAGAACAGAGGGATCAAATAGCATAGTCTGGAACAAAAATATGAATAATGCCGAAAAAGATCACGCTGACTTTGTTACCGGGGGCTATACTCGCAAGGAATTTTGGAATTGCAGAATGTCCGAGAATAGATAGAAACCAGCATGCCGAAGCAAAAGAGCGAGCCCGTGGCATAAGAAAAATGCTTGGCTGCTTTAACCGCGCGACCTCCGTACGTGATCGAATCTAGAGCTCGATTCAACCGACTTTCAAGACTTTCTTCTATAAATCATAACGTCTGCGTCGTAAATTAAAGACACTCGTAGGCGCGCTACGAAGGGTATCATGAACCCCATCATCTGGGGCAAGTTYGATAATCTATTCATCAACATTATACGCGGTAATCCTGAASACGAACTCCATACGGCGGTTGTCCCCTCCCATAAATCATCACATGACGCTAGCTATTTTTCAAAGTATTTTTACATATTTACAGCTACAAAAAATATCCGCAATGCTTTCAACACAAAATATACCCAATAGGACACTGGAAATTACATAGTTTCCGGTTTTGCACGGTTCGTAAACATGAAATAGTACAGTCGAGACTAAATCAATATTTCAATCACTATACCTAACCTTAAATCTATAAACCTTGGTCTAACTAACGACGATTCCACAATAATTTTRCATTTGTTCTGAACATTTATCTTCCAGTATTTACCCGGTCAAACGGTAGCAGGACATCCCGCGGACATGTAAACAACTCCCAAATTGATACTTATTAAGATAATGCACAATAAAAAACGTCCCAGTTCATGAAATGATGCGCACACACGTAGAAATAAGTCTAGTCCTTTTGAAACACCTCTAAATGACTACTGTTTGACTTCCAATTCAAGATCTGTGTACATGCTCCATCGTACGTAAATGTACTAAATTGCTATGCAATAAAAAACATTCAAGTTCAACGGTGTAAATCCCAGAGTACATGGAAGACATCTTCTTCGTTCACTGAATAACAAATGCGYACTCCAAAAGTGTCCAAAATATATACCATGAATTGAGTCATAGAGTCTCGATTAGTTTAACAGCTTTAGTAGTACATGAAGCCGAAGCTATCTCTGTGRAACGGCTTGTATTTGAGCAGATATTTCGCACTGTCGTTGTTCTTGACGGATTTCCTCTTGCCTGCAAACCATTTAGAAATTTGTTGTATCACAAGAACCATATTTGAAGCTGCAAGGCACGTSGTTCCAGCRACYACAAACACAATTTCAATAAAAACAACCATTTTCTTTTCCAGGCRCTTGATAAGAGAGCTCAACGTTGTACTGTAGTTCAGGTCCTTGACTCTTCGCCGAAACTAAATCCTTTACAGAAAAGACGGTCGTCATGACATGATGGATTAATGTTAGCACGTGATTCTTTACGTAATGTCTAACAAGCCGCCAATGGCAACACAACTCGAAGAATAAAGAACGATACGATGAATC